AAGAACGGATCACGTGCTCGTGCTCGACAATACACATTTCAATTACACATTCTCTGACTGCAGTTCAATTACTCATTGTTCCGTCACGTTGTGACCGTCTTATATATACCAGACTACCCCAATCTAGTAGTCTCCCGACAATTCACCTAGGAACAGGTTATTTCTAGAAGGAGATGGCGTGATACTAGTCACGTGACCTCGCTGACGCAACAATATATATATATATATTTATGGGATAACAAATACAATCCTAAATACATGAGGTGAAAGGCAATAAATAAATATTTAAATTTTAATACCATACAAAAGTATGACCACTAACTCTACAAAAAAGAATTATCATGGTTTAGCCAGGTTTCAAGGAGTAAACATCTGGTGGCATCGCATCAAGTATTTGAACGATTGTTTGTGTAAGCACAACGCTGCGCATTGCTATGTCCACCACAGGGATCAAACTCTTACAGCCTACTGCTGAGCCACAAAGGAGCAACGCTCAAACAAAAAGCTGGAGAAGAAAAAAAAAACACGCAATGCGTAATACAAACGTGACTTGATGGTGCGTTACTGAATAATTTTCAAACTAAAAGTAAAAAACATAGGATTGGAAAATGAATGAAATAAAATTATTTATAAACTTTGAATGAACACATTTGATCCGAAAAACTCTTGAGGAAGTAAATACACAAACTAGAATCTATAAGCAGTCATTTAAAAGCTTTATTACCACCTGTATGAAACAACAAATAATGTCACGAATAGTAACTTTGATAAAATTAACAAAACAGATAACTGATTTCCTTTAATTCTAAAACATATATATAGAAAATAAAAATTTGTTCTCCTGTTCCCCGTTCAATTCCGATTCAATTACAAGGTAATCGGTTACACGTTTGAAATAGTAAAATAAATTGTTTGAGAAGAGTGGTTATCGATTAACGAAGCTCTTGAAGTTTCAACTTCAAAATGAACATAAATGTTTAGATCGTGTTGTAAGTGTTTGAAACAACTTTTGTTGAGATTAATATTATAATAAGTGTAAAGCAAATACTTTGAAACAAATAGCTTCATTATTCTCGGTGAATTTGGTGTAATTGTGGTATATGATGATATTAATAATAATAGTATAATAATAATGCATGTCTGTGTTACCAGTGTCTTCACTCGGACGAACACAGACGGATAGTGGTGTCACTGTCAGCAATAATATTAATATTTTCACCGATACAACGATAGTAGTGTTATAGTTACAGTGTTAGGCTTAACATAATCAATAAACTTTGTAAGCAGTAACTTTCAAGTATTCTCATTCGTGTTTAGATGAAAATGAAATTCTTAATTTTGGCATAAAGCAATAATTTAATATTTGAAATAATAATTAATTTAATAAAAATTATCATTGTGGGAGTATGTAAGTACACGTGATGGGCTGTGAAACATATAAAAATTATAGTTCTACTGCTACTAGTTCTAGTACTACTGCTGCAATTCATCATCTTTACATTTTACTGTTTTAGTCCTTGGATTTGGAAGTTGGAATGTTGAATAATGGATTCTTGGAAGTTGGAGTTAGAAGTTAGGCGATAACTTAAGTGAGTTATTCCTGATTTTTCGAGTATTCTAAATAAATAGCCCAGTAACAAAAATGTACAAGTTTTACATTAACTTTTGTTTTTAGTTTTAGTAAAGTAAATTTTACACAAAATGGTTCTAACCTGCTCAGAAGTCAAAAATAATTTTCTATTACTCCTGTCAGTTCTGAGTACTATCTTGATCCTTGCATAAAACTAAAAGCTGAAATTATAATGTATGATTATAAAGCTTCTGGTTCTGATGAAATTCATTCCAAAATCTGGAAAATTAGGGAGATAATTTGGGGGGGGGGTGTTAACTGTTAATTTTTAGATGCTTCTTGACATGAGGTAAATTACTGATTATTGGTATGTTCCTATAATGTGATTTCAAATTTAAAACAAAAGAGTATAGGGAGAATTTGGGAAAGTATAGGCCTTAAATTAAGGCTTAATAGTATTAGTTTGACATTTGTTGTTGGCAAAGTGTTGAAGTAATTTATCAGAAGTCATTCAGAAAAGTAGCATTTAAGTAACTATCATCAGTATACATTTTTTTTTCCATATGGCTTCTGCCATTTCAGATAGGAGCATTTTGGTTGACGTTATGTGTCATGAAATGTACGAAACTTTGATATGGTGCATCACAAGATATTAACTAGTAAGTGATGAATAAAAACCCTATTACCTGAGTGCTTTCAAAAGGTGGACTTTTCTTTTTCAGTTTGCCCGTAAAGAAGAAAGGTCCACCTTTTGAAAGCACTTGGGTTATAGGGTTTTTATTAATTACTAACAAGATTTCTTGAACCTACATGTTTTTTCTAACATCATGAATGTACAACTAGTAAGTGAGATACTCATAAGATTGATTGAAAAGTCAAAAGGTGTATAAAAGAATTATTAATAAGAACATCTCAGTGAATGGTTAAGTGATGCAAAATATGGTGATAAATGAGCAGTTTTCAATTGATATGGAAAGCTTTGTTATGCAATAGTATTTTCAAGTTAGTTAAATAATGGAAAGGACTGATTCTATTAGAGATATGTGAAAAAACTTTTAATATCAGATTATAAAGTTAAGTTGATGAAAATTACTACTACTTGTGGAGAGAAGTGTTTATCTCATGGAAAAGATGATTGTTGATTAAACCTTGAAGTCTTCTTGTAAGTGTTTGGCTTTGGTAAAAAAAATGAGGTTCAGGTTTTTTTATAGAAAGTTTCAATTTAAGAATAAGAAGGTTATTATGATCTTATATAAGACTGGTATTACCTTATTTATAGTACTGTATGTAGTACTGATTCATTTTCTACATGAAGAACTTCAAAATATTGTAAAGAGAACAAAGGCAGAATACTAGAATGATTCCTGGTACAAGAATATTAAGTTATGACAAGAAGTATATATATTTGAATTTGTTTTCTCTTGGTTTTTATAAGATCTAAAAGTTATTTTAGTTTTTAAAATGTTAGGAATTAACATTCTTCTCTTACTGATCAGTTAACTTTTTTTAGGGGGAGTTACTTAGATAATGGAAAGGACATGGACTTGGTGTACTTAGATATTTCAAAGAGATTTTGATAATGTGCCACTCAAAACATTAGCTAAGCAACTCGTATTGGTTGGAGAAAGACTAATACATTGGATTGTATGATGGTTGGATGAGAGAAAAGAAAATTTGTTATTAATGAAGTCCTATCACGCTACATCATTGTTACTAGTGGGGTGCCTGAAAGGTCAGTGCTATTTCTCTTTTTTTTTACATTAATGATATTAATAGGGGCATACTAGTAAATTAGTAAAGTTTGCAGATGAAAAACTCTTGGATATTTCTAGCAGACCCAAAAAATACAGAATAATTTGAATTAATTGGTTAGTTTGACAACTATTTGGCAGATTATCATTAATTATAAAAGTGTAAGATTATACATTTTGGTTATCATAATTTGGATCACATGTTTAATATAGATGGAAACCCTCTCAGTAGCTTGACTTTAAGAAAAAATATTGTGGTATATAGTGGTGGATAAGTCACCCAAGCTATTGAAGCTGTGTGCTGTTGCTAGTAGTATAGCTACCAGAATTTTAATGTATTTATTGACATTTTGATTACAAGTTAAAGGGGTGATTAAACCTCTGTATAAATCAGTAGTTAAGGCTCACTTGAAATACTGTATATCATATTGGAAGGTTCATCTAATAGAGATAGGTTAATATGTTTTATTTTCTTTTAAGAAAGAAAAGGTAAAAGGTGATCTTTTTTTAAATTTACAAGATTATCTGGTGGAATTCATAGGATAAAGTCTTCTCATTTATTTTTGCTATATTCTTGAATATATTAGGGCAAGAGGACATAAAAGATTAATTTGAAAAAAACAGGCTAAGCTCCATTTAAGGTAGTTTTATTTTTATAACAAATTCATTGAGTTATGGAATGAATTGTTGTTGGCAGTAGTAGAATCCATCACTTTTCTGGAGTTTAAGACGAGAATCAATGGTTTTTCTGGGAAATTTTTTACTTTTCTCCAGAGTTTGTGCGGAAGGACAGCCTTGAAGGATCAAGTAGTTCTCAGTTGGTTGTTTTGACCAGATCACAGTTGGACCATTACATTTCACATGAGCTAGTTTTTCAATATTTGTTGTTTTCACAGTAATGGTACTTAATGGGAAATAAATCCACTACACTCGGCAGAAAGCTACTGCATTCGTGATTGCAAGGTATACCTGATATGTCATAAACAGATAATCGATACGGCCATGTACTTCATATCATATTTGAATTAAAACACTGAAATCATTTTCACCTAGCAAATTTACCAATCTTATTTCAAGTTGAATTAACACTACATTTTTTATAGTTCTTTAATGTAATATTGAAATGTAAAGACATTTTTGTGTTGATTGTTATCATGAGTTAATATGAGTTTTGACTGATTATATGTCAATTATGACAAACATATGACATAAATAGCCTCAGAAAATAAAATCATTCTCCCTTTTGTGTTTTTGCTGTAGCTGGTATAAACATAGATGCTTTATTGATTGCTTTCAGCAACTCTGTTATTGTAACAAAAATTACATATTGAAACAATAGACAAGAAGATTCCTGTTTTATCATTTTGCATGTTAGACCTTAAAAAATTTCATATTAGTTTGTCTGAAATATATGATTTTCCAAAATATTAGTGTGTATGATTGGTTGTTGGTATATAGTTTTATGATCTTATTTACATTATAACAAATTTACTATGATCATGACATGCACAGACAATTTTTAAAAATTATTTAATATTGTAATGATGCCATCAGTTTTTACTTCAACTTCACAACCCACTAAAGTGAGTATGTTCATTGTATGAGTAGAGTGAATATACTATGATGTGAATATATGAAAATCAAATTTGTATTTTGAGATTTTAATACAATTAGAGCGACTTCAAGTATTGTAAGAGGATTGTTCACATTTTGTAGTTTACTTGGATTTGCAGCATAATACTGAAATTTCATGGCCACCTTTTTGAAGATTGCTGCATCATTACTGACTCTTGCTAAAACTGATGCTCAATTTATATGGATCAAGGAATTCTACCAAGTAGTCCAGTTGCTGAAGTGATCATTTGTTGGAGCTCTGGTATTGGCATATCCATGTTGAGATTATGAATTCCTGCTGGATATTGATATCAGTGATACATAAATTGGGGCAGTGTTATCACAGTTGCAGGACAGAGTGGAACGTGTAATAGCACCAGTTATATGCTGATGGGTTTGGAATGCAGATACTGCATGCTGAAGAAAGAACTGCTTAATGTGGTCTTTGTCAAACACTATTAACACTACTTGTGTGGTAGAAAGTTGACCATTCATGGGGACCATGAATTGCTGAAGTGGCTCATGAACTTTAAAAATCCGGAATGGTTGATTGTACGTTGAATGACAATGTTACAAGAGTATGATCTTGTTTTACTACATTACTGGGCCCACAGCATGAAATTGCTGATGGATTGTCTAACAGCATGGTGAAACAAGGTCTTTTCATTCAATGTCCTGATCTTGGACACCAAGTGGGAGCTAAAGCCATTTTGCTATAAGAACTACAAGCCATATGATGGTTGGATACCACAATTAATACTTTAGTAGCTCTAGGAAGGGAAATTTTAGAACCCAGTTCTAGCATCTTGCTGTGCAGCAAGGTGAAGCATGGCTAGCAAAGATTAAGGATGCAGTTAAGACACATTTAACCTGTAGCACTTGTATGAGCAAAAATGAGTGCAGGAAGGTGTGCTATACCATTGTTATCAACTAATGAAATGTGGTTCTCAACCTGAGATGCAGGTAGTGTTTCCTAGAGATCTTAGTCAGGGGATACTTTAAACTTTGTATAATGCAAAGATCAGAAGTCACCAGTGTGTTACATGCACTTGTGCTAACATGTGATGACAATTTTACTGGCCACATTTGAGTCAAGATTTTAAGCAGTGGTGTGAACACTGTACTTGTTTGATGCCTAGAAAAATAAAAACAGCCTAAACAGGGTAAACTCCAAGCAGAAGTAGTTTTCCTTTTCAGAGAATATCACTGAATCTCTCCTGGAAACTGAACAAAGTAAATGATATGTTCTAGTTATTACTGATGTTCATTAATTGGGCTGAGCTTTACCTATTGGCAGTTTGTTGCTGGTATGTTCGAAAATTATTGGCTAGCTCTGTTTGGGGCACATGAGGAAAGTAACACTGATCAGAGATCTTATTTCAATAGCCAACTGTTCTCTGAGTTGTGTAAAGTGTAGGGTGTGGTGAACATTCATACTTTGCCTTATCACCCCATGTAATGGTTTGGCAGATGCTTGAAAAGTTTATCCTGACAGAATAGATTAGAATGAACACATACCTTATGTCATGATGATGTATTATGCTAGAGAGCAGAGATCCACTAATTGTTGGCCAAACATGCTCATGTTTTATTGGAAATTGCAAATCACTGTAGATGTGGTATATGGTCTATCCCTAGAGCATATGTGCCACAGTATCAACAAAAATATGTGGAATGGATAAGATCTGCATTAGTTCGTGAATTTGCTTATCAAGAGCTTGTAAAGGCTGTCATACAGCAGATGTTATGATAAAGTAGTTAAAGAACAAACATTCCAGTATTGAGACTGGGTGTGGCTTTGATACATGGCAGTGACATGGTTACAAACTGACTCTTGCTGGAAACAAGTTCTAATCTTGTCCTCCAACAAATTGGCCCATTATCATACCAGTTACAGCAGTTAAGTGGTACAGATAAATGTGTTGAACACATACACAAGTTAAGACCATACATCACTGACAAGCCTCTTCTGCACTGGCTAGACTGGTGAGTCAGAAGAAAATGAGAGTGCTATTTCCTATAATCTTGACTCAGCTGTTGAGAAAGAAGCTGTAGAGAATACATATCTGGCTGCCTGAGATGAGGGAGCACTTGGAGAGGAGGTGAAGAAAACATTTTGATCAAGATACCAACTTCCTGATCGATATGGCTGGGATTAACTACCAGATAGCAGCTAGCACAGTCACTAATTGTAAGGTCAATGACTGAAAGGAAGTGGTGTTCCTCGCTTTTCAAGGTATCAAGTGGTGTTTCACTGTAAGTTTGTGTTCTACATTGTTGGGCAGTTTGCCAAGTAGTAGCTGAATTTCTGTGGAGCAGGCCACTTGAAACTTGCAGATTTCTCCAACAGACTTAAGTATGTACACACAATTCCTCTATGTGCAGTGAGAGTACTGTGTTCTTACTTAGCACAGAATGTGAATCAGGCTTTCAGAAACATTACTTACCTCTTTGCACCACTAGGAGTTATTACTTGTGCAACTGCCAGGAAATTTCCTGTAAATGTCACAGATGTTGAACAATCTCACACTGTTACATGTGTTTACATTTATCTGTTTCATTGCTTTTTGTGAGCTTGCCTTACCTTTAGATGACTTTGGCTTGCTCTTCCACATCTGTACTTTGGTTCTTGCTATTCTCTCCTTGATGAGGAACAGGTACCTCCACCTTTTCTGTTTTCTTCATCTGTAAACCAGGTATGTGACTTGCCTGTAGATCACAGCAATGATTGGGTTGCTGTGCTTTGTGGGCCTTCTTCTGTCCCAAATTAATATTGTCTTCTTCATTATTTTTTACTTCTTTGCTATGGTCTATGACCATGACTCTTCTACCTTTCTTTAACCACAATCTTCTGTATCCATGTTTCTGCCTGAGTATTCTTTCTTTTCTTTGTCTCTTTCTTTCCTGCAGTCTTCTTGTCTTTATCTTATCTTTACTGCTTTGCAAATTCTCCATCCTTCACCTTCTCACTATGGTTTTTTTTGCAACCCCAATAGTTCTGGTGTGGATATTCTTCCTTGTTTGCCTCTTTATTTTTTATTTCTTTCTCTTCTGTCTCTATTTTGACTTGGTTTCTGTGTTCTTGGGATCTCAGCCATTCCTGTTCCTATTGATGATTTACTTGGTCATGTTCCACTTAGCCTATTCTACAGTCTTTTCCTGCTCCATCCATCAGTGTGGCTCTTGTTACAGGGTGTTTTTGTTTCAGGCATTAACCATACATTTCTGAGACCATTTACATACTTTCCCAGGAGCTGCAGTTTTGGTGGTGGGACAACTCTTTCAACAAGTTCTTATTATATCAGTGGAATAGTCTCTACAACCCCAGATCTTTTGTGGGGCATACCCATGGCTGGACATGTTTATC